AACCAGTTTAAAATGATGAGCAATGAGTAGCTACTACGTCTATTGTCTTAAGGATCATTGGGAATTTAAATATTTTGCCATTTTGTGCTGGTCAGGAAAGCTTCAGTTATGTTATCTCCATTGCCCAAAGGACCATAAGATCATATGGATGGGRAGAGACCTCAGGAGGACCCTAGTTCAACCTCCCACTCAAGGCATGTTCAGCCATGAGTTTAGAGCAGGTTGCTCAGGACTTAACCAGGTCAGGTCTTGCAGTCCTCCAGGAATGCAAAGTATTTCAACAGTGTTCATAGTCAGGGGAGTGCACTGGCTCACAGAGCAGGTGAGGAAAGACCTTCTCTGCCCAGTGATGTGTGTAGGAAGCTGTACATAAAGTACCATCTGCAAGGAGGAGAGCATGGAGCACTGGTGGGGAAGGAGCAATGGCCTGGATCAAAATGTCTGAGATGTGGGAACTGAGTAGGACATTGAGACTGTGGCTAGAAACTGTAGGAATCATCTCTAGGATGGGCTAGGGAAAGAGATATAAGSGAAGGAGAGTGCACAAATGTACCAGACAGACTTAGCACTGAGAAACATGCAATCTGATGAACAAGGGGAAAATTGGGAGGAAGAACAAAAATTTATGAAAAACTATGATCTGAGGCAGAGGATCAGGTTGAGAAATGACCCCCTTTCCCACCTTGCTGCACATGGGGACAGGAAGACTGTAATGGAGCCAGATCCAGAAGCACGGCCAGTCTTTCACTGCCAGCATGTACCAGTGAAACCTGCTGGTATGGCACATGTCCTGCTGTCCTGTCTCTTATGCACTCTAGTGATACCATGTCATAGCCAAGGGACAAAACTCTGGTATCAGTAGGTGCCATGTACCTGCATGTGGGTCAGGGGGAAGGAGATGAATTAATCAGAGAGGCATTGCACTAAACATGGTTTCAAAAAAGTTATTAATTTGAAAAATACAACAATCAAAATTGCCTATGTAATTTTATTTCAGCTTTGCCTCTGCATGTGGTACAATCTAATTTAAATTAAATGATCACATGGATTATTATCCTTCTCCACATGACTTCCTGCCTCACAGCAAATACAGGAGAATTGTTAGGTCCCTACCCCAAAGAGCTCCCAGTCTCAGGAAAATCAGACGAGGTGCCGGCAAGAGAGCAGCTCTTGCRAAGAAGTGGGCAGGGAATGCCAGTGGGTATGAGTCTAAATACAGCAGCTGCAATTGCAGCTGGGTTGTTTTTTTCTCAGATCAATATTGAGACAAAGGATAAAAATAATTAGAAAAAGAAACACACTTCAAAAGCTCTCCCCTTTCTYAACTACTCCGTGTCCTGTTATAAAGGGTTTTTTCCTGCAAGTGAGCCATACAGGATGGCAGCTGAAGTTCAGTTGGGCACATATAGTACCAACACAGTAACTTTAAGGYAGCGAAAATGTTCCCAAGGTGTGAAGAGGATGGCAAAGCCTTTCTGGAGTCATTCATTCTGCAGCCTGACAGCTAAACCTTCCTCCAAGGACATGGGTGAGAGTGTCACCTCTAGGGACTGACTCATCCCATGTATCCAGTACCAGTCACTGAACTGTCTCAGGGAAGACACAGCCTTGATTGGATTCACAGATAGAAGCATTGGTGCTTTATTAGTCACTTCTCATGGCATCATATCCTATATGGGGACTTCATCTTTCCATCTCTCCCAGCCAGTCTAATGTTGGTTTTCTCACCCTTCTTACATCTAATGGAGATGAGCCCCGCAGTTCCTACTGCCCTGACCTACAAAGAGCATCTTGGGTATCTCCAGCCAGGAAAGAAGATCTGTGTAGCCAGATCCATGGTGTATTTGTCAAGGTAAATACTTTCTAAAGAGAAATATATATATATATATATTTATATAAATCCTACTGTTCAGGGTAATTTCTCTCTTTGACCTCCTACCACATGAACTTTAGGGCTTTGAGTCCCACACCATGATGATGACCTGCTTGGAACGTGTGGCCACCACTCTGGTGATGGAGATCCCATGGGACTGCTTATATCTTGCAGATCCCTCCAGGGAACACTAGCATCCCAGGGACCAGGCTCCCAGAGGGAAGCAGCATTCAGAGATCTGACATGGGGAAGCCCACATCTCATGATGCTCCTGCCCCTGCTCTGAGAACCTTGGCACAACAAAGCCCATCACCGTGAGTATGGGCAGTGCTCCTGGATCCCTAGGATCACACTCTTTCTTAGCCTTCTCCGGTGTTTCCAGTCTTCTTGCATGTTAGGCTTCAAGAATTTTACTGAAGTATTCTTTTCTCTTGTCTTTTATTCTCTCCTTTTCTCTTTTTCGAAAATCTGCCTCATTTGATTGTATTTTGAACCAACAAGTTCCTTCCCTTGGAGCACTGAGGCTGATCTCCTCACCCCACACAACCTGCGTGCAGGGCTCCCGGAGCGCCCTGCCGACCCCTTCCCGCGACGCGGGCACCCTGGGAGCTCTGCTGGGAGATGGGTGCTGCCGGACAGGGCGCACCTGGGCAGAGGCCAGAGCGCAGCTGCCGCCTCCTCAACTGCTTTGTTTTTTTCTCTCTTTCTCTTATTTTCCCTCCAACAAACTCCAGGGATTTCTGCCAGTTGCCTTTTCCAGAGGGGCCCCGCGGCGCTGGCGGGAGCCCGGCCGGCGGCACCACGCCGTGGCCCGGCCCGGCACCGGTGCCCGGAGCGGTCGGCACCGGGACCCGGACCCGAAGCGGGTGTGGGCCGGGCGGGGCCGGGGGCGGGCGGCGGGGAGGAGGGAGCCGCCGGGGCCGCCCCGCCGCGCCGGGAGGCAGCGGCTGGAGCGGAGCGGCGCGGAGCGGCGAGGGCAGCGAAGCCGCGGGGCAGCCAGCCCCGCGCGGCGGGTAAGTGCCCAGCGCCGCGCTCAGCCCCGCGGCTACCTCGCCCCTCAGCCCGGCCGCCGGCCCTGCGCTGGCCCCCTGCCCCCACGGACCCAACGCCCGCGCCCCGACCCGCGCCCGCACCCTGCATGGCCTCCCGCACCCGCTTCTCCTGAGCCTGGTGCGGCAGCACCGCTGCCTTGCTCTCCTGCTGTGCCAGGACACGAGTTGCTGAGTGCCCTGGTATCCCACTATSCCTGCACACAGATACCCCGGTCCTCTCCCGTCCAGCTGTGCTACCCACTGCTCCTGTGCTCCCCCTGTGCTACCTCAACCCCTAGCAGAGCATGAGGAGGAGGAGAGCAGGGGACGGGGACCTGGTGGGGCTATGCATGGGGAGCCAGTGGGCAAGGTCCCACTGAGAGTCTAAAATAGCACTTTCAGGTGTGAGGAGTAAGAGGTGACAGAAGAAAAACAAACAGTGTGATGCAGTACCTTAAGCCTTTTGGTTACGTTGTGCATGTTTCTTCATTCATTCACCATCATGGCTTTGCTTATCACCAGACAAGAAGCAGCTTCGTGTAGCTTTTCTTCTGATGCTACTGAGATAGCCTTCATGGCCCCAGAGAAGAAAGATTTCCCAGAGCAGGGCTGTGCTGATGCGAGGGTCACTGTAAAACAGGCTGCATCTCTGTGTGGCTGAAGCAGAACCACTATAGGAAAGAGGAACCCTGGACCAGTCCRTCGTGTCCACACTATGAGAAGGTCTTCAACATCCGTGGAAGGGTTAATGTTTTGGGGGGAGGGCAGGCAAGAGAGACACAGAGAGAGAGAAGGAGAGGCAGGCACAGACACTTCAGATGAAACACATGCCATAGGAGACTGTCTCATCCCTGTCCAGAGGGATCTGTGATCATGGGATAGAGGAAAGTTCAGCTTGGGACTCATTCAGTCCTTGGCCTCTCACATCAGCACTGCAAGGCAGCAGTGGCAAGCGAGGTGGGTTTTAACGATGCATATATGCAATGGATACCCGTTACACAGCTGCTRTATCAGGAGTGCATGCATCACACATGCTGCTCCTCACGGGCTAAGATGGGAAAAGGACTTAAACATTTATGCTGTCAGCATTGCCACATGCCACACTTGCCTTTAGTGCCTGTCATATYGATGGTGAACTAAGTGGTAGGAGCACTGGCAGAGAAGGAAAATCTGATAAATGGGATTAAATGTTACCGAACARTTGTGAGACAGCAGTTTTCATGAACTTGGAAAAAGCAATCCTCTCTCTAAGTGGAGAATGGGCAGGTTCCTGAGGGCAATCAGATGAATGTTGTAAGAGAAAAAAAAAAAGTGTATAATACCCTGAATGTAGCTCCTTCTATTATTTCATGCCAAATGACAAGTTGATCTGCTCTTCATCACAGGAAGCATATCTTCTGGCCAGGCATGGAAAACCCGGAGCACAGTACAGAGAAAATGCAGGCTGCACTGAAAATCAAGCTTTGGCAAGCTAGGCAGGGCTGAAACTCAGCAACATTTGAACAGAAGGCCTGGGACGGGAACATACTGCAGGAAAAGAGTAATTCAGGAGGTGGTGCTTACTGCAAGGCAGCCGGGGTTCGAGAGGCTACTTGAGAATTGCAGGTGCAGCCTCTCTGCCAGGCTGCCGAGCTCTTGATCAGATGCAGCTATTAAAGAGATTTCTGGTGAGGAAGAAGGGAGGATGCTCCCCAGAAGAAAAGCTACCAGCTCCGAGCATGTGGCCAAGCACTAGCTCATGGTTGGATCTTCTTGAGTGCTATGAACTSTGGTCTGCACTGCTCACCAGCAGATGGGTGCGATGCTGATGCAGGTTAAAACAGTTGCCACTTTCTGTACAGCTGCATTGGTTGGTAAGATGCAGCCTTGMGACACAAGTGCAGAGATGAAACCTTTCCTTCCTATCTTGGCTTAGATTAGATGAGAAACAAAAGAGACTAAACAAGACTTTAAACAAAAGCTCTGCCACTGAGCCTGCAGAATGAAGTCCCCCGTGTAGCAGTGTCACAAATGAAGCATGGACAGCATATGTTTGGTACAAGTGGTGCTGTTCTCCAGCTCTTCAGTCCTTCCTTTCTTTTTACAGCGGCGTCCCCATGGCACTCTTCACAAGAGTCAGCCATCGTCTTAACGCCACTGACTCTGTCCCCTGTGAGGCCGATAACGCTACAGAGCACGACCTGCCGCGCTCACATGCCTACTATGCCCTCTGCTACTGCATCCTGATTTTGGCCATCATCTTTGGGAACGTGCTGGTCTGCTTGGCAGTTCTCAGAGAGCGCACCTTGCAAACCACAACAAACTACCTCGTGGTGAGCCTGGCGGTGGCAGACTTGCTTCTGGCTACGTTGGTGATGCCATGGGTGGTGTACCTGGAGGTGAGTACGTCTCAGAAAAGATTGGGGGTCCCTCGGGCTCTTATTCTTCCCTGATCTTTGAACATTGGGCTGGTGTAAAAATGTCCTGGAGTGACTATGCCCAGCATGAACAATACTCTCAAAGAGAGGGCAGCAAAGATGGGATCCAAATTCTTCATGTATTGCAGTAAAAGTCTGAATTACTGAAGGCAGTCTCAGAGAAAACATTTTTACTAATGTAAAACCATGAAGGTACGCTATAGATGACATTTTTTTATCTTTTATCATCACTGTTTTTACACTAATTCAAGTAAAGGGGTAGAAAATCAGAGTACATGTCTATCAGCCTTAAGCTTGCAGCTGAGCCCTAGCACCCCATTCTCATGCTAACAGAGACAGGAGAAGCCTCCGAGCTGTGACCTCTTTGAAGCTTCATGCTCTTTATATAAGAGGAAAACTGGGCTGAAGAGTAGGTTAAATATTCTGCTGACAGCTGCCCACCTTTGGCTGACCTCGTTCCTTCAACGCMGAGCAGGAGCAGAGAGGCATTTTGCCACATGCCTATGGACTGTGCTGCGTATCAGTAGGAAGTAGAACAACGTAGGGCAATACCAGTAAATGCCAGGCTTGTTGTGCACAGGCAAAGGGATCTGATGAGGTAGCAGGGGGACAGGTGGACAGCCCTCCTCTGGTACCAGACTACRTTGAAGAGCTAACACAATGCTAAGGTTTGGTACTGAGCACAGGCATTTCGCTAATGTTAATCCAAGGGGCTCTTCTTGCCTGTGTTCATTGCAGACTCTCAAGGACGCTGCAATTAAGACAAGTTAGGGGCCAGCCCTGTCTGTAAGCATTATGAGTAAGGGCACTGGGGGTCATGGAGATGCAAAGAAGGAAAGAATGATAAAAAGCAAGGCGTGTAATAGGCATAGCGTATAAAAGCAAGACACAATCCCATCCCCTAAATACAGAATAAGGCTAGGGATTTTGATAGCAACTGACACATATAAATTCAAATTTTATTTCAGACTGCTCATACAAGAATATTCCATCCCCTCAAGTATCTTTCAAACATTAATAAAATACCAATATGCTTTGCATTGAAAAAGACGTAACACCGTGAAGATGGTGAAACTGAGGCACATCTGTAGAGCAGGCTCTGCCTCCATAGAGTATCACAGGCACAGTTTGCGAGCATAGTTGTGTTAGGAGAAAGATCCAAGATTCATTTCCATTTCTGAAGGAGAATTAGAGTGGCTGGTCCAAGAGATGGCTGATTCACCCAGACAAGGGAGAAGAACCAYATCTCTCAATCTAAGACTTCCAGACATTAGGGCTGTAGCAATACTCAGGTTTAAAYAAACAAACAAACAACAACAAAAACTCCCCAAAGTCATTTAGCGTTTGCTAACATGCTACAGATGAAGAGAAAGTGGCATTATGCTTTGGTATGATATAGACATAGAAATTCCCAATAAAACATTCATATCTTGTACAATACCTACTTCTCTGCTGAATGCTTGCCAACTCAGACAGCTGAAATTGGGTCATTATTTAGGAGAAGCTAGAGGTAGATGGATACCTTAAGATTTGAATGTCACATGTGAACTTTAGGTGCTTTACACTTAGATTTTAGAGCAGTTATCTATGGTCCAGACCTGCTCCATGAAATTTTTCTTGTTACTAGTCATGCCGGATAGGATTGTCTCTTTCTAGGGGGCCTTTTGGAAAGGCTGTGGTAGATCAATCACAGGAATGTTTTAAAATCTCAAAATCCTGATCTGCAACTAATGGAGTTTCTGGCTCACGCTGCTATCAGCACCATCTGTCAGGGTCAGTGGGTACTGTGCGCTGTACCAGTTCTTCTTGCCCAGCTATTCGCTGACCTCTGATGCTGTGGCTGACACAACTGCTGAAGCCCACAGAGGCCRTGTAAGCAGTGATTTGACAGATTCAGGAAACTAACAGCACTCCCCMAAAAGGAAGGTTTTCTTACACGAACATGCTCAGATGCACAGCTACTTTGTGCCTGCCATCACCTGATGCAATTTTCTGTTCATATTTTATTCATTCCTACCCATGGACACCTCAGTGTGTTAACCCTGTAGAGTTACGATTTACAGGGGTTCTTCTGTTTATTTTTAAGGGTTCAGAAGACTAATTTACACCAGTTTATGAATGCACTTTATTTTAATTGGAAGATTTCCTAAAGTGTTGGAAAGCTAAATATAACAGTACTGAAATCTGGTGGATAAAGCAGACTGGTCATCAAGAAAGATGATGAGGTGTGAGCCTGACATGAATAGTCTATAGGGAGCTTTACCATTGTCTTTGRTAGCACCAGGATTTCATCCTGGACTCTATTCCCTGTTCTGCGGTGTGCACAGCGTGYGGTAATGAGAGATTGTATCAGCTCATCTGTCTACTTTGGTTTTATCAGCTGTACAAGTGAAGAATAATGTATGACCATYCACCTCTCCCAGGCAGTTGTGAGGATTCATTCAATTAATACTTGTGATGTGCTTTGTGATTGCTGAATAAAAGGTAGGAGAGGGATAAAGAATAGATATCCTGCCAGCATATGAAAATCAGGAATGCACACTGACAAGTTCTAGCTTCTGCAACAAAGATCAGCAGCACAGAGCAAGAGAAGAAAGAGCAGGAATAGAACCGAAAAAAAAAAAAAAAAACAAAAAAAAAAAAAAAAAAAAAAAAAAAAAAGAACGAAAAAAAAAAGCCTTCAAGCCTTCTGGAACAAATTCTGAATTCTCATGCCCCACAGGTAAGTGTTAACTACTTCATTGACTTCAGCAGAGCTATTCCCCATTTTAGATGTTCTGATTGGTGGAAATGAGGATGGATTTTAAATCTAATGCTTTGATCTGTCAAGCATCCTTTTAGTACAAGCTATGGCTTAGTGTGCAGATGGTGTGGTTTGAATGTGTCATCCTGAAAGGGTTCACTTCAGAACCATCCTCACCAACACCTTTTTTTCAGTTTTAATGGCTGTTATTCCCAGAGCGTCTCTTTGGGCTCAGTGTTTGACTGCACTGAAGATTTTGGAAACTCCCCCACTCAACTGCTTTCACATCAGCTGGTCAGAGACAGTTGACTTCCATGCAAGTGCCTGGCACAGCTCCTGGAGAAAWACTCTTCACACTCCACAGATGACAAAAGCTCACACAGCGTTGGATTCTGACACAGTCTGCAAACCACCACCACCACCACCACCCTTTTTCCATCCCATTGCAAAGATTTTCAGCACTCATAATTTTGGGGGGCAACTTTCAGATGGCAAGGGGACCTCAAAATCTGCAACTAAATCAAAAATCGTTTGGGATTTCTTTAAAAACTAAACAGAACTTAGCTATCAAGGTCCCTGATTTTGGAGAAGATGATAGCCTTCAATTTGCGCACACTCCAGGCCACCTAATCGTGCAAAAAAAGCTCTCAGGGATCTTTTTATTTCCATTAGGAAAAAAGTATCAGAGCAGTCAAGATGAAAGCATGATTCCATACTGCATTTTGCAAGTGCATTGCCATTGCTCTCCCATGCACTCTTCTGCAAACACTCAGTATCAAGGAGGTCTCATGGAAGCCTGCTTCATTCAGTACCTGACATCTAACACAATATTTTCCACGGCAGCTGGGTCCAACAGGGAACCTTCCTAAAGACACAACTCACCTCAGCAGGTTTCCTTGCCCATGTGTGGGAATCCTGGCAGAGAAACATTTCATTTTTTCAGGATTATTCATTAAAGAACTCTGAAAAGAACSTGTGCAGAGAGTGATTTTTCTTCACTTATGTAAGTGCATCAGAGCTGTGTCTCTCTGCTCATCCTTTCTAGGCAGCGACACCTGCCACAGAATTGGCAAGCCTTAGAAGCAAAGCTCAGTTGTAGCCCCATCTCCAGTCTGATATAGTTTTGTGGGCCTTTGGGGATCCAGCTCTTGTATTAGGTAACACAAGTGATCTAAACTAAGGGACCAGGTAAGTAGCGTAGCTTGGGCAGAGGGGGAATAGAGGAGGAACAGGCTGTCACCTACCCACTCTAGGGGAAACAACTTACTAGAAGCTGTTTCACTTCTAATGCCTGTAACAGCTTTTCATGGTCCTGAGGGGCCCCTGAGGCCAGCCAAGTAAAGAATTGGTGCTTATTCATAGGATACCTCAGGTAGGAAGGGACCTCAGGAGGTCTCTGGTCCAACCTCCTGCTGGAAGTGGGATCCACTGAGGTCAGACTGGGCTGCTCAAGGGTTAATCCAGTTGGGTCTGGAAGACCTCCAAGGATGGAGCTTGCACAGCCTCACTGGGCATCCAGCTCCTCCCTGTCACTGTCCTCGGAAAGTTTTCTTTATATCCAGTATACACTTCTGTGTTTTCATTTTCATCTGTTGTCCATTGTCCTCCCACCACACCGTGCTGAGAAGAAACTGTCACCGTCTTCTTGGAAACCTCCCCATAGGTCCTGGGAGGTTGCTATTAGGTGCCCCAAAAGCCACCTTTTCTCCAGGCTAAACAAGTCCCATCTCTCAGCCTGTCCTCACAGCACAAGTACTCCAGTCCTCAGGACTCTCTTGGTGTCTGTCCAATGGACTTGCTGTGGCTTATTGAAGTCTGGATGGCCCAAAAGTGGATGCTGTACTCAAGATCTAGTTGAAATGTTAGTAGAGACACTGCAAGCTAGTGTCCTTTTCCGATGATAGATTCCCTGCTGAATGTGCAAGTTCTGCAGAGTTTGAAGGATAAAATCCAGACCTCCTGCACAAGACAGGCAAAACCASTCTCTCAAAGCAAGTATTTCCTCACCTCCTTCTCTTTCCCCCAGTTCTCCCTTTTCCAAACAGTGCATTAGTCAGATCATTTGCTCTACTCGTCTAAGGGGTTTATTATCTCCTGTACAGAAGAGGTACTCAGGCAGACCATATACAACAACCAGATAGGTTGTCATCTCAGCCTCTAGGAGGACTGACACATCCACAGCAATGCCACTCAGTGCTAGGGGCATCCTTTTTTTCCATTGACAAGGTCATTGTCAAGAACTTGATGGCTGGGGCAAAAATGTGTTTCTCTGTCACAAATACTGGCCACAGCTGAGATTTCTGAATCACACATTTCAAGACTACTAATTTGAAATAAGCAGAACAAAATCTAGAGGTGGTAGCAAACCAAAGCCCTTCGTCTGAATAGCTTGTGAGTTCTCATTCCGATATAACCATCATAATCTGTAACTGAGATAAGAGTCCAAATGACATTCCGGAGCAGTCTTAGGTCTCAGTTCTGTATTTCATACATATATGCATAAAATTTGCAGTACTTTTCCAGATCATTGCTCACAAAACAGCTCCAACAGTTAAGCTGAAAAACACTTCTGGCCTTTAGATTTTTCTGATATAATCCTTAAATGAACAACATATAAAATAATAAAATATTTAATTCAATTTGTCATGCTAGGTCTTAAAGGGAGAGATGCTTCTTTTTTCTTTACTTGCCATCGTTTTCAAGAGTAAATAATATTTTCTGAGCTTCTATGTGATAATGAGCACAAAATAGGTTTCTTAGTTCCCCATGGCACATCACAGTGAATTTGAATACACTCTAAGTATTTGTCTAGCTAGTGAGGTGCTTGGAGGAGAACATTATATGTAATATATTAGTACTCYGTGCAAAACAAGGCTGACAATTTTGTAATTGCTGGTGCAGGTGACTGGAGGAGTCTGGACTTTCAGCCGTATCTGCTGTGATATCTTTGTCACCATGGATGTAATGATGTGCACAGCCAGCATTTTAAACCTCTGTGCTATCAGCATTGACAGGTAAGAGCCAGCAGGAAAAGCAGGAATGGTATAGAGGTGGGGTGGGCACTGCACCCAACCACAGAAAGGATAAGGAAAWGGGGTGCACACAGGCAACCTCTTAGTGTCTCTAGGAACATAAATATTCCTGCATGGCTATTGCTGCTACTACTGCTGTTACTATGACTCGGCCCATCCTGTGTAATAAGGTCTTTGCGCTTAGGAAAGGGTCAGAGTGAAAAAGCTCACCAGTCAGCCACATCCATATGCTTTCTGAAGGTGAAAACCAGAGATGGTCCTCTAATTCCCCTTGACTCTCAGGGAGAGTTTCAACTTCTGAAGATCTCTTTCATGAAGTTTTAATAAACTTTCTATGTTTGCACGGGGAGTGGTCTATAATAGAGGCATACTACTCAGGATGGTTCCCTGAGAAAAGATGGGACTAGAAATGGGACAGTGCTGTTGGCCAGAAGAGCAGGCCGATATTGGGTTATGACCTTAGTCTTGCCTTGTTTTTTTAATAAATATTATAAAATTAGACAGATGCTGGGCAACAAAGAATGCTGTAGAATAAGAAGACATCCCTACCTATCAAGACAAGACCTTGGCACTTGTGGTCCTTCAAGGACTTTGACTTTCTGCTAGCAGGGGTAGTGGGAGAAGGAAAAAAATTGCATGTTACATCGTTATAATACACAGGTCAAGGGCAACTGTGCAAAGCAACTTTTGCTAAGGGCCTGGTCCAGTGTTTCTCCAGGGGAGTCTTTTCCCCATTTAACTAGGCCCTGTCTGCTGGGAGCTGCCCCTCGGCTGTCCTCAGGCCTAGCCTTCGYGTGCCTTTCTGATCATGGGCTTACTGAGCTGCGGCCTCTGATGCAGCGCAGCTGGTGAGGAMACTGGTGACATCCCCACAGGAAATCAGTCTTCTGGCCACCAGCGGAAAGGAGGGCAACTGAGACAGAGAGAGCAGCAGGCTATGTTTGCTCCAGGGACTGCTCTTTCCCAGAAGGATAGTTATAACCTTTGGGCCTTGAGGTAGAGTTTTACAGGATTTCTAGATTCAATTGGTATGCTAAATCATATATCTTTACAATATCAGCAGTTCTTCAAACTGTTTTTCCCCATGCTGTTCATTGATTAACTGATTTTCTCTGCTCTTTTCCTCCTTTCCACTGCCTTTTTTTTCCATGAATTGCTGATCTCATCATTTGATCTCCTGCTGTTATCCTTTCCTCTTCTCTCTCTTCACTTCTTCCACCATCGCTTGTTATGTGGCTTTCGCTTCTCCCTTTCAAAACCTCATCCTTTTCTTCTTCTTCTTCTTCCCCTCCATTCTCACCTCTCCTTTCTCTGGGCTCGGTTTGGTCCACAGATACACTGCAGTGGTGAGACCAGTTCAGTACCAGTACAACACTGGGCAGAGCTCCTGCAGGAGGGTCTCTCTCATGATTGTGGTAGTTTGGATGCTGGCGTTCGCAGTGTCATGCCCTCTCCTTTTTGGCTTCAACACTACAGGTAACAGTGACATCCAGAACAAGGAAGGGTTGGAAATGGAGGTGCCCTATGCATGGTCAGGTTATTTAACATGGGTCCTGCCATTTTTCCAAGATACAGAAAATTCCATGGAACTGAAAAATACCCTGTGAAGGGAGATGGAACTCTCCAGTGCTAAAGATGTGCTCCTCTATAAACTTGCCATTTGTTTAGACAGGTATTGGCTATTGCTTTGGGATAGACCTGCCTATTTTACTAGCCACTCACTGCCCTTTGAAGTATCCTGGTCTAGAAATCCCCACAATATGATTACTCTGTACACAGAGAAATCTCCAAGCATACAGCACCTCCAACACACATCAGAATTGCTGACATTAATCTTGCATGTCCAGATACAAAATTTTAAGCCCGATGGGCAATGCACCAAGCAAGCCACATTTCTAAACAGCAGAGATTGCATACTTTTGGTGCTGCTTGTGAGAATTCTGCTCTGCATCTGATTTGCTATGTGCTTCCTCACCTAATCTGTGGATCAGAGCTCAGCAGGGTGGATTTCAAAGAAAGAATAGGGGTAGAAATCAGACAGCGCTGTTGGCCAGAAGAACAAGCAGATGTTGGGTTATGACCCTAGCTAGAGTCCATTTCAAGCATCAATTGGGTGAGTGGGCAGGCCACAGCATAGTTTGCCACAGCTGAGATAGGAGATGCTTGTGCTCCTTGGACTGCCTTTGTCTGCAGCTGCCCTTTGGCTTGCCTTGAAACACCAGAGCCTCCTTGAACACCTCAAAGCTGCTCAGTCACTCCTATCTCTCTCTCTTCTCCTCCCCAGGGGATCCCAGTGTTTGTTCCATATCCAACCCTGTTTTCATCATCTACTCCTCATTGGTGTCCTTCTACCTTCCCTTCGTGGTGACCCTGCTGCTCTATGTCCGGATTTACCTCGTGCTAAGACAAAGACAAAGGAAGCGAAACCTCACTCGGCAGGGCAGCCACAGCACCAGCACCAGGCTGTCTTACACGCACAAAGTAAGACCCTCATGAGCKCATTAGGGTCTGTCAGAAAGGACAGGGCATATCTTACCTCCTTGGAGGGTCAAAGCACAGAATGGGGTGGGTAGAGCATCTTGATTTTTGAATGCAGAAGCTCCAGTTAACTTCTCTTCCAGTCCTCTAGAAGGTATCGCATGTGTGTCTGCACTCTAGAAGCAGGTCACTGGGAAAAGGGCAGGCTACATCAATGTTTCTTCAGAGTTGTGCTTTTGTGGCCTTGAAGAAGTTTGGCCAAATTCTTCATTTATTGATTTTTTTGCTATGTAAAGTTTCATTCTAAGAGTTTCAAAGATCCTAGGTTATTAATAAAAATCTCTTAATCTCAATGATTTAAGAGGTCAAATGGTCATGATGCAAGGGAGCATTTCCTCTGCTGACTTTTCCAGATGATATATTACACCCATTTCCCAATGTCACAGATGGGCTGAAAGGGATCCCCTGGACACACATATCTGTAATCCCATTTGTTTTACCCATTTTTTCACAGTGAAGCTGCATTAAAAAGAGTGATGATGTTGAGGAGAACAAGGACCACCTGTGGCCAACACAAAACAGAAAAGAAAGATTAGCAGAGCAATAGTTTCAGCTCTTGTTGTCTTGATGCTTCTCCTTGCAAAGATAAGACAGGGAGTTTTCAGGTTCTGATTTACCTTTCTCATAAATCAACATTAGTCCCAATCCCTGCATTTTTCACCATCTCCAGTGGGTAGTGTTAGCACCTAAGAGATAAATGGGGCAACGGATAACTCTTAAAACTACCCTGTTTATTCTCTGCCCTAGCAAATGCCTTGCACAGTTCCCCTTTGCTCTATGGCATCCTTTTTTTCAGGAACACCTGGAAAGAAAGACATTGTCCAACAGATGCCAAGGCACCTTTTCACCTCGTCTCCCATTCAAATGCCCCGGGCAGGAGACATCTGCCACAAGGAAGTTGCTGGCACTCCTCAGCCTGCAGCGGTACTGCAGCTTCTGCCAAGAGGCAGCCCTCACCCGGGCACCAGGGACTACCCAGCACAGTGGGCTGAAAGAGAGGAGGAAGAGCAGGAAGCCAGGGCTGGAGGTGCGGACACTCAGTGATGGCAAAACCATGAGCTCTTTGAGGCCAGCGCCCCAGTCACCCCGGCTCATCCAGATTCGGGAGAGAAAGGCCACCCAGATGCTCACTATCGTCCTGGGTGAGTTAGAACTGCTCTTTCTCATGGGGTGCAAGGGGTGATGCTTCGGGATTTGCAAGTGCAGGCATCTCTCCTAACACGAAAAGCCAGACTTCAGCTGTCACTGTTCCACAAACTCACATGGAACAAGGATGAGACGTTTTAGTAACCTAGGGTAGCACTGACAAATACTGAGAACCAAGTACATCAGTGTTTTACTCTGCTACAGGTTATTACTCTCTTGTTTTAAATCAGTGGTCCACAAGACCTCGGAGGTAGCAGCCACCAACACCTCTGTTTGTTTCTCTTTTTCTCTGGTATTCTAGTTAGCTGTGTATTGCTATAAGCTTGGAACTGTCTAAGTTTCCACACATGCACATGCACTAGCTCTTAACTACAGTTCCGGAGGGGAAACTGAGGCATGGGGCAGCAGAGGAACTAGGTTGTAGAGCTGGATGGTGAACCCAGAAGCCCAGAGCCCAGTCACCTGCCATGGTCACCAGACACACTGCTCCCCTTAATTAACTCAATTATAGCGAGCAGTATTGCAGCCCTTGTCATAATTTACTAAAAAGGCTAGGAAGGCAGTCGTCTTTCCTCCTAAGCTGGGGTCACTTGCTGCTGTCTATCACCAGGTCACACTTCAGGCCTTCCTGAGGCTCCATTAACTGACATAACTGACCCTGTGCTCTGGTAAAGTCCCTCTACCTCGGGAGCAATCTCCATCCACAATGTTCACCAAGTGCAAGTGGGTGCACAGCAGGCTGCACAGAAGTAGCAAGAGGATGGAGGAAGAGGGCACAGGCAGGGGTCTTTTTTTCCAAGTGGTAAATTCAGTAAAGTCACGGATTGTTTTCTATCCTCTTCAAAATTAGGAGCATTCATAGTCTGCTGGCTGCCGTTCTTCTTGATCCACATCCTGAACGCCCACTGCCCTTCCTGCCACGTGCCCCCAGCGCTCTACAGTGCCAGCACCTGGCTTGGCTACGTGAACAGCGCCCTCAACCCCATCATCTACACAACCTTCAACACCGACTTCCGCAGAGCCTTCCTCAAGATCCTCTGCTGCTGATCATAGAGCTGTCACTGAGCTGCTGTGCTTAGCCTCCATGTCTGCGCTGGGCTACTATTCACAGTGGGCTCCTGCACTTTGAAGGAAGCCCTCCCCTTCTTCTGAGTGCGGAGCAGTGAGTAGCAGAGGTTGGCACAGCGCGGTCACTTCAGACCAAGGGCAAGAACACAGCCTGCCTGCACAACTGTCTTCACCTTCTGAGTCTCAGAGCTCCTGCTTTCTTTTTAGAAAAGTCTGTCCATACAACCAGGACAGCTTCAGCACCTGAGGAAGTTTTCTCACATTGCAAGCCAAACGCTCTCCTGTGCTGCCAGCAGGTATTTTGTTGTTCCTTGCAGGTAGAGCRGTGGCAACCATCCCTTGGGTACCTTGCACTCGCAGGTGAGACAGCATGGGATGTGCAGCACTCTGACATAGGGACGGTGTCTCTTTTCCTAACCCAAGGAGCAGTAGCATGTTGGCCACTGCTTAACTGCCATACATGCAGTTGTCTGTTGGGACCACTAAATAACAAAAGTTGTCAAGAGTGCTGCTAGGAAAGGATTTGCTCTSTCTTACCAGTACCATATGTGTCATTACAGCACACAGTTGAAGGGGAGCTGATGGACTCATGACTCTTCCTTGCCAATACACCCACTGCCACCCTCAGCACACAGGATGCTCGTAAGTCCTGGCTTAGAACAGCTGGACAAACAGAGTCCATCCATGCTCTCTTTTTCTTCCCTCAGAAATACCTTACAGAGCCATCTCCATAGTTCCTGGATGAAAATACCCGGCTAGTCCTTTCATATCCTGTAAGTTGATCTCATCTCTGCTGTGCTGCGCTGACCTGACTCAGGGCAGTCTGAAGCTCCTCTCCTTGCTTAGAGCAACCTGTTCTGGTGCAGTCTTGACACATCTCTCGTTTTTCCCCTCACTGTACAGAATCTAGAGTGACTTATCAGAGGCTCCAGGTGTCACTCCCAAGACTAGGCTTTGCTGTGCTGTTCACTGCACTTCTTTGACAGCTTTGGACGTAAGTGCATATTCTGTTTCTGCCTTCATCTGTGCCACAGCTCCTCCATCTGATGTGTGTTTCCTCCTTCTTTGTCAATGCAAGGCAAAAACATTGTCCTCTTGCTCTGAAACACATGRCAGAACTTCCAGCTTCTTTTTTTAACTTGTTTATGTTTCAAGGAGAAGACACTAGTGAGCAGCATGTATTGTTTACCTGGAGACCTGCCCTCAGTACTGCATTGTAACTGTGTTAATCCAATAAACATGTTTGTAATCAGAAACTTTGCTCCCTTTGCAACAAACCCTGCTAGCACTTCCAGGAGTCTTTCCTCACTTGTATTGCTCTTAACACTTTCCCTGTATGAAATGATCATCCCCCCGGACTCCCACAAGAGGTCATTACTATTACTTTCATTTTGCTAAGGAAGACAAAAGAAGGGAAGTGATTTTCCAAGCAGAAGCACAGCTAGGAAAGAAATCAATGCCTGCTGTAAACAACTCCCACAGATATAGTCTGAAAATATGGTCGATTAGTTTGTCTGCTCTGCTGAAGCAGGCCTGTGGTTGCATTTTTCCATCTGCTCGCTGGCACTGGACAGCACAGGACGTCCTAGGCACACAGGATATTGTGGTGAGGCTGCCTTTACACCAGCTCGGGCACAGATTGCTGCTCTGGTAACTTTCATTAAGACACTATCATAATACAGCCCACTGCACACCAACTTCAGCTGCTTTTCACGCAGGTGTCAGGAAAAAAAGCATTTTTTAAAATAYACATAGTTTTTTTTCTATAAAGGATTTATATAATTTTTATATTTATTTTTTATACAAAGGGTGACTAGGTCTGTTTCTGACCTAGCATCTCTCAAATGTCACATTGAGTCTGATCTTACTCAAATTTGAACCTGCTTTTCAAGCAATGACTCCTTGAGTGATTCCAGACAGAGATGGAGTGCAGTATGTAACCAAAGACCTGGCAGTAGGTAACCAGATAACACACAGCTAAAAGGGGCAAGGGAAGCTCTACGTGCAAAACCCAAGATTTTTCATTTAATAAGCCAGAACTGAACTATCAAGATTTGAACTATCAGATCACGGAACTGACGACAACCTCATRGACTGCATCCTGCTATGAACCCAAAAGGAAACAAAGCAAAACAAAAACAAACCTATATGCAGTCACAAAAATCAACCCCAGATAAGACAATCTCTCTCTCTTCCTCCCTCAGGTCCTGTGTGAGCTCCATGCCACATATTTTCTCGAAGGAAAGGCCATGTGGGAAAGGGCTTGCAGGAAAGGTCATGCAGCAAATACAGTCAAAATGCAGCGAGTTGACAATACCCTTCCTTCTCTGGAGAGTAGGTGCACTCAAGTAACTTCAATAGTGCAGATTCACAGGTGGGTGAATCATTCATTAAGGTTAAATATTATCCTTCAGTTTAATGTAAGTGTCTAAAAAGAGAAAAAAAATACTTTTTAACGTTAGGGAGTGGTTCTGTGGCAATGAGTTTTCTGTTCAAGCCCCCTTTTGGGTAAGAGGTGAGTTGGCATGCCTCTTACTTCTCCTTTAGGATGTAGGTCTCTGATATCGCRAAACGTTGGTAGCCGGTGCTGGCTAGGGTTCTTATCAGGAAGTAAATCCTCTTGGASCTGGATTCATTTCCTCAGCACAGGATGCAGCAAGAGAGATATAAAAGGTCATTTCTGCAGATGCTGCACCATCTTTCATCTTTCTAACTAAAATATGTTAAGCTGTGCTGTCTCTCATCTCCCTTTTCCAAAATACCTTAAAGACTTGAACACGGACTTGAGAAAAATGCCTTGTTGTTGATGCCTGGATGAGGTGGTGCTAGCTCACGCTATTGCTGAAGCCCTCAGAGGAAATGCAGTGCAGCGTACTTGCTAAAGAGGCATCGGACAGATCTTATAGCTAATCTTCTCATATTGTCGGGAAGGATAACAGGCTTAATTATGCAGAGGTGAAGTGGTGACTCTTCATATACCACAGTGGAAGTGACACAGAAGCCAGGCTGCACCCTGTAAGGGGTGCTCTATTCCTGCCCTACCATGGGCTGAGGATTTGTTTGGGCTTCTTAAAGTTCCCCTGTGACATCTCCTTTTAGGTGAGGGCACTTTTCAGACAGTAGCTGAGGGTAAATAAGGAGTGTAGGAACAGTAGGAGGAACACCACCCCTGGAGTATTGGGTGCAGTTCTGGGCTCCCCAGTACAAGAGGGATGTGGAGCTTCTAGAGAGGGTCCAGCGGAGAGCAACAGGGGGACTGGAGCATCTCTCGTAGGAGGAAAGACTTAGCTGGGCTGAGAGGAGATCTGATTAACAGATATAAGTTCATGAAGGGGGAATGTAGGGAGGAAGGGGCCAAGCTCTTCTCAGTGGTGGCCAGTGACAGGACAAGGGGCAATGGGTACAAACTAAAACACAGGCAGTTCCATCTTCATGTGAGAAGGAACTTTCTTACAGTGAGGGTGACAGAGCCCTGGCACTGGCTGCCCAGGGAGGATGTGGATTCTCCTTCTCTGGAGATCTTTAAACCCGCCTGGATGCCGCCCTGTGCCCTGTGCTCTGGGTGTCGCTGCTGCAGCAGGGGGGTTGGACTGGATGATCTCTAGAGGTCCCTTCCAACCTTAATGATTCTGTGAGAGTCACAGGGACAGCCAAGAAACCCCTCAGGGCCTGTATTTTGCCTCTGTTCCCATTATTTGGAGCAAAATGTCCCTCATTTTGTAGCCACAATGTCTCCTGCTAACCCTCATTTTCTACAATATTTTCCTCTTTGCTGTTTTTTAACCCTGACTGCAGAAGCAGCTGGAAGAGGAAATGGATGGTTCCAGTGATCTGGAACTCTGCAAAAGAGTTTTGCAGATTTTCATTTTGATACTAATATTCATGTGATAAGAGCTAGAAATCATAAAAATCTCAGATAGAAAAAGTGAGCCTAGACTCCACAGGGCCCCTCCTAGCCTCTAACTGCTCCTCAGGCCACCATGTGTAGCCCATCATGATGGCAGTGGGCACCTGAGGTGGGCACCTGGCTSCTAAGAGGCAAACAAGACAACCCACCCTGAGCAGTTCTCCATCACTCTCTGCTGCAGCATAGCAAGACACCTCCATAGCTCATGGCTATCCCTTGGAAGACTGCAGGAAATTATTTTCATTATGCTGCTATATGGTAGTTGTGAGATCTATATGCTATATGTGCTATATGGGTGTGAGATCTCTGTCACAAATAAGACAGAGCTGGAGCTGCAACAGCTCCCTTGTGAAACCAACCTAGAGAAGAAACCGTGAAACCTTCTCCCTTGTCAAGGGCAGTCGCAGGCCTGACAGCCACTGGAGCAGGAACCTTGAGGCAGGAGAGCACAGAGGCTCCCTGCAGAGAAGGTCAGACGGGCATCCATGGGGAAAAGGAGCCTTCTACGAAGCCAAGAAATATTGCAGCAGGTGGATTTCTCCAGCTGACACAGGCTCTGAGCTTGGCTTGTGATGCAGCCCAGGTAGCAAGAGCTGCTTTCAGGCAGACAAGCTGCTTTGCTGAGCTCCCTGGACTGGCTCTGGGGCTATGGGCTAACTCCTCCCGTGTGGGGCAACGTGGGGGCATTGGTACCTGGTGAGGGCTTCAGTATCTGCTTAGGTTCAGCCAAGTGTGTGACAATTTGCTCATCAGGAGATGACAGCTCTTGTAGCCTTCAGCTGCAACGCTCCTGGTGGCAAGGAGTTTCATCCCGGAGAAAAAGACCTRTTAGGTCTGTCTTACACTCGCATGAGTGTCCCAAATTTGAAATAACCATTGACTGAACAAGTTAAGTGAATTCCTCCTTATCTAATAGTAGCAGCAGATTGACTTAATGATCATTTCTTGGTATTTTACCATCTAATCTGCTGCTTCAGGATTAAAGGAAGGTTTATAGAGTTGCAGGCAACTAGAGATATGCAGGGGTCATCCTCGCCAGTGGTACTGCTTCAAAGTCCGCATCAACTGCTATATAATTTTKGCCCAATTACATTAAACAGGAGTTAAAAGATGCATCCCTGACTAATCATCCCTTTCAATCTCAAATGCCACTGATCCGTTTTCCAACTGGGTAATCTCAGCTCAAGATTAATCTCAGGCCACAAAGTAGCAGCTTTCCTCTTTCTGCTTTCATGGCATCATTCTTACTACCTTCCTTGATTTCATATCACCTTAGCTACCGAACTGGGAACTCACCTGCCCTGATGCTGCCCACACCTTCCTACAACAGGGATGCTCTTTCTCCTGAGCCCAGGTGAGGAACCCTCCTGAGCTTCCTTTATGCTTGTGGCCACACATCAGTGAAACTCTCCCTGCCAGCCACTAGACACATCTCCTCCCCTAATCTGCCTCTGGAAATGTGAGGTAGAGCAAAAAAGTTAAAAAAAAAAAAAGAAAAAGCCCCTAGAGCCAAAGTAAAGCCAAAGAAGAAAATGAACGTAATTAAAAATTAATTTCAGTATAATGATTTAAGCATCCCAGCACAACAGGCACCATGCTGCTGTATGTTTGGCAACGCAGGGAAGACCTTTTGGGCTCCCTGCCTTGGGAACTGTTGTCAGTTTTAATAAGTTTTCCCCTGCAGCTCTGAGCAATGCTAATTGAACAGTACAGAAAGCCTGCCTGCTTCTCACCGGGCAGAAGTACATTTGCTGTAGGACCTTCTGTCACCCTGTGCCGCAGCCGAGGAGGAGAGGCATGTGAGATGCTGGTGGATCACTCACCTCACCACGTCTCTGCTGAGAGGCAGCATCATTTCTAGCCAACTGCAAAGGAGATGCTTGGGAAAGACACTCAGGAAGGCCAGGTTGCAGGGGTGAATTCAGCACTCAGTCTCCACAAAGCCACAGCATCGCTCTTTAGCCTATTGCTACAGCAGCCATTGCTAAACTTTTTGAAACGCAACAAAATGTTCGTTCCTCCTCAAGACATGTGCGAAATGTAAGAAGGCATGTGCCAGCGTCTTCTGCAGCTCAAGTGTTGGCAATGCTAGCTGTGGGCATACGGCACAGCTCCCGGTCCCTCTCTCACTGGCTTTGCCAAAGCCTAATCATCGTGTTTGCTTCTGCTCCTTCCTCCCAGATGCTCCCTCTCCTGATCCTTTCCTTGAAGATTATGTGTCTCTTCAAAGAAAACAGCTGCTTGCCAGGCTCATGTGTTCTGTTCCCTCTCAGTTCCCCCAGCATCTGGCTTTCCTGCAGAATGGTTTTCAATATCTCCTCTGTCTACCTCATTGAAAGGCAAGCAAGCCTTTCTCCTGAGGAAGAARGCAGCAACAAGCACAAAGCGTTTTTGGTTAAAGCCACTTTAATTCCAAGGCTTGCAAAGTATGCCCAGTACCTCAGAAAGGCAGTCAACTCTGCCTTTGAGGCACCAGATACACAGGATCGTAATGGATCAAGAAACTCTGGCCAAGACCCTTGTAACAACTTGCTCCTGTGAAACTCTCCATTGGGTCATTGCATCTAAGCATCAGGAGCAGGACTGATGTTTAAGATCTTTTCTTGACCAGCAAGCTGCAGCTCAGCCCTCTCTGGAAATATGAATGGGTGAGAGGTGTCCTTGTTTTGTGGTGCCACAGGCATGGACCAGTTTCCTTCCCCAGTTCACCAGCCATCTCCTTGGCCTTGAAAAGCCTTCACAAAAACAGAAAGACGGCTAATGCTGAGCTGCTTAACRGACTCAAATGCCTCCATCTAACATTTCTTTGTATACTGCCCTGTCCCTTCTACATAGCAAAGTTGGGAGCTGAAAAGGCACATTAGAAGCATCACATCACATTGCATCACACCTTCAAACTTTGTGCCTTAATCACTTTATGAAATTCAGAAAGATGTAGCAATAACTGGGCATGTTGTCTGCATCTCCCTTTGTGGCTGTGGAAAACCATAGCCTTCCCCAACCCAATACGTGGAAAACACGCTCTGACAGAGGCCACTTACCYTGGAAGCACCAACACAGGAATAACAGAAAGTTTTACTGCATGAAGGTGTTAATTGTTATCGTGCCAGCACCAACTTTACTAATTTACAGCCAAGTTCTAAAGGGATTTTACTTCATTCTCTTTTTGTTTGAGCAGTGCCATCATGCTWACAGAGCATGCTTAGGGCAGGGTGCTGGCATGTGCTTGCACATCTTTAATAAGCTGAACAGTAAGGGCTTTAGTACCAGGAAAGAGATGAAGGTCCTGGTGAATTATGTAGATCACCCGAGACAACCGTAAATAAAACCATTAAACTTGCCTGCACCATCACTGTTTTGCATACATCTCGTAGTGCAGAGGCAGTCTCTCTGAAATTACTGAGAGGAAGGTTTAAACATTTTATTGAGACTGGTTTTTGGAAATAGGCCTTTGCCTGCAAGGATAGGTCATGGATCAAAAATCAACAGGGCTTGGGGGGAAAAAAGCTATCCAGTGTTTAAAAGCACCTCTGAAACTTACCTAGAACTGATCTTTCTATGCATAAAAGCATGATCTGAAAGTCCTGTAGACTTAGTTGGTTTAGAAAGAAATGGAATACTCCCCTGGACCATTTTTCAGTCTTCAGCAGCTCTGGCAATCCTGCACAGCCACAGCACAACAGACATAAGAACTGGCACTCGAGGCTTGATGCAATTTGTCCTGTGCACTGGGTCAGAGGAAAGGGATGKATTGAGAGGGTGCATGAATGGGTGAGGAGGTGACACACCTGAAAGAAAGAATACAGTTTTGCGACTGACCAAGTTGACTTTTTTTTCTCCTGTAATGCATTTTAAAGCTTATCTTTGAAACTGATGAAGGGACTGCAMTACTAAAATAGCTCTGAAAGTAAGTCATCGAGGAGAATACTGCCGAAATGGTCTGAAGGGTGCAGCACTTCCCATTTAACACAGATCCCTGCCACTTTTTCTCACCACCAACAAGAAAACCAAGGAGTTTTCTTAATTTAAAGTTACACTACAGGTCACTGAGAAAGTGCTCCAGAATSTAATGTTTTTGTGTTGCCCTATCTTGTCCCTGGTCCTTAGAGGATGGAAGGTAATCAAGGAATAATTCTGGAGTTTTCTGTGCTAAGTGAAGGTAACTTAGCACAGATTTTTTTTCTCTTCTTATTTATTTCAATTTATGCTTCTTCTTGGAAGGCAGGGAAGAAAACAGTTTTCTTTACACATAAGCATAACACTACTTTTGAAAGAAACTAGATCTCTCCTTGGAAGAAAAAACTAACAACTTTCTAGATTATCATGAAGAAGTTTACTTTTATGATGTGAGCCAGGAAGATTTACAGCATGACAGGAAGATTGAAAAYCCATGTAAAGCGTAACACAGTGCTGTGGTTTCAGAGATAAGTAACCACAGCAGGGAAACTGAATGAAGACAAACCAACCCACTTGGTTGAGGGGAGGATCTGATCAGTGTCTATAAATACCTCAAAGGAGGCRGTGAGGAGGATGGGGTCAGCCTCCTTTCAGTGGTGACCACTGACAGGACTAGAGGGAACAGCCACAAACTGAAGCACCAAAAGTCTCACAGGAACTTARGGAAAAATTCTTAACATTGAGGATGACAGAGCCCTGGAAGGGGTTGCCCAGAGAGGTTGTGGAGTCTCCTTCTCTGGAGATCTTCCAAACGAACCTGGATGCCGCCCTAGACCCCGTGCTCTGGGTGTCCCTGAGTGTGCAGGGGGGCTGGAGTAAATGATCTCTAAAGGTCCCTTCCAACTTTAAGGATTCCATGATTCTATGAAGAATAAATTGCAGATCAATTTCTAAATTGGTTTAAGGCCAAAAATGATTGTATTTTTCAAAGCTTAATTCACACTGTTGTGGGGAGAGCAGGTGAATCTTTAACATTTCCATTTCTGTGATGGCTTCTTAAGTGTCTTAAGGAGGCTCTTTCTCAGAGATGTGACCTCATGGGTCACTGTCCTCCATCCGGCTGCTGCTAGATTAAGTTGCCCAAAGAGATCTTGAGCTCTGCACTCAAACTCAGCTYGGTCATACACCACAAAGAAGCAGTTTTATGAATAAGAAAAGTTTTTATTGTTGCTTTGTAACAAAAGACAGAATAAAAGGGAATGTGACATAACTAAAAAAGATTTTAAAAGTCAGTTTATTTTTCCCCTAAATGCCTTTTTCTATAATTTCCACAGCTCCTTCTCACACAAACACTTTGTTTTATCATAGCAGATCGTGTAAAAGAACAGTATGTTAGTTATCATCCACACACTAATGTGTGAAGTCTTAGTCCATAAAGGTAGAAGGGTAGAGAGTAAAAACAAACAAACAAAAAAATATCATAAAAGCACACCTCTAAAKCAGGACATGGTTCAAATATACGCTTTTCTTTCCGACTCTAATGCCACAGATTAGGACTCCCTAAGGCAAAGCCTGGCTGAGCTGGACAGCCTCTGCCTGTCTCCGAGAACATCCTGCTCTGTATACGGTCCTGTGTGCCTCAGAAAAAGCAGCACTTCCACTCATTTCTCTCCAGAGACACTGATGCTGTCAATGGTCACAAGGAGAAGCGTGTTAAACTGAGGCAGGGTCTCGCATCAGGGAGCTGCATGATGGAGACCCCAACACCATTAGGATTTTTTGTAAACAAACAAATGACATGGAGTATCTTTTGAGGCTGGAATGAAAGTCCCAAACAGTTGCTGAGCTTCCTGTCAGGCAGCTGCGCTCATTTTAAGTATATGCCTTGCTTCTTCCTCAATCTCACGTTCAGCAATTCTGTTTTCCATCCCAAAACCCAGCAGCGTGTAACTGAAAATAAAGCTGTCCGTGCAGGTCTTGTGAGCTGTTCAGCTCCTCCATATCCCCGGAATGTAAGAAGTCCATTAACTGAAGGGTGCTCTCTAATAAGATCTCCTTTCCCGCATGAAGGGAGGATTTAACTGCCCAGCAGGCCCAGGTGGCCCTGCTGGAAGTCCAGGTTACAAAGTCCCATTGCGCAAGGATGAAACCTGCAACCTTCCCGCCTTGGCAGTCCTTCTTCTCCCAGTCTTCCCCGAGCTCACTGGCCTGGTTTTGCGCTTGCCGGGCCCTGCAGCGCCTGCCTGCAGATCAGCTCTTTCAGCTGCTTCAGTTTATTGTCTCTTAGGGCATCTCGAATGGCAGCGAAAAAGCTGAAGTAGTGCTGGAAGTTGTGCATCATGAGCAGGACACCAGCCAGGAGCTCGTTGGTCACCAGGAGGTGATGGACATAGGCTCGGGTATGTCTCTGGCAGCAGTAGCAGGTGCATCCTTCCAGCAAGGGCCCAAAATCCTCCTGATACCTACAGAAGAAGGAGCACTGGGTTATCATGAAAAGGCAAGACGACATGTTCAAAAAAGAATATCCAGAGTTACTAGGCAGCCTTTGCAGGGWCCTCAGTTCCAAAGTCCCCAGGGCTGCAGGATGTGCTGATATCCAACCCTGCTGGGGAAATGAAGGGCTCAAAACGAACAGCAAAACACAATGATCCTCAGACAGCCTTTGACAGGCTTCTGTCCTTCAGCTATGCCCAAGTACTTCTGCTGCTGCCGTGTTCTGAAAAACCCTGGTGCTAAGTCAGGCAGCTGATGGTGCTCTCACTCGCACACTATCGCCCGATACCAAGCCAGAACTTCCCAGCACTTTCCATTCAATGTCCAGATGTAACTTTTTCCAACGCTTTTATGTTTCGTGAGTCTCCTATCCAGCTACTGACCACATGCAATTGAATACAGAGGAGAAATCCCTCATATTCAGTGACAGAGCTACAGATACCCTTCTCCAGGTCACCCACCTTTTATCCTTCAGAGAGATCTCAAACGGTGTCATTTCGGGATCAGCTCCGGAGATTTCACTCTCGTCTTTTTCAGCACTGTTTTCCTCTGCRTTCTGGATCCCATTTTGATTTAAAACTGCTTAAAAATACAAAACCACAGGCATCGAGAGAAAAGTTAGAAATGTGAAACTAGATACTTCCAGCCACTCTCTTGCCACAAGTTTCCATCGCCTTCCCATACAAATCAACTGTTTTCATTTAATTATCACAGATTACTTGAGACAAAAACAGTTCTAGATCATCAAAAGGAAAAGAGACAAGGAGAAATTGATGTCCTAAACCTAAGAGCTAGAAGTGAAACAGCAGAACAACTTTTTGTTGCTCTGCTGAGCCGAATTCTTAATAAAATATCAAAAATATTTTCAACCTGAACTTCATGCTAAATGAAATGCAACTACCTGAACAAATTTTTGATTTTCTTGAGACTTTGTTAGGAAAGACAAGCAACTCATCTGTATTCAATCATTCTACTTCTCATGCTGTGGCTGAGATTGATTTTTTTTTTTTTTGGAGCAGCTGAAATCATGAGGCTGGTAGCACTGACGCAGAACATAGCGATTCCACATCTGTTTTTCCACCAGTCTGCCTTAAATTAAAAAAAAAGAAAAAGTAATCCCATAATTTTGCAGGTTTGTATCTTTTTAGGCTTGTTCTTAAGTAGGAGACACCTCTGGAAACATTAATATTATTGCTGTTTGCACAGTCCATGTCTACTGAGTGTTACATAGACATAGAATAGAGACTGTCCCTATGTCTAGTTACAAAACTAGAATATTTGTTTTAAAAATAAGGTGAGATATTTTTAAAACCTTTTCTTTTTTAAAAAAAAAAAAGATAAACAACACCAAAAAGTTTTGGGGTTTTGTTTTGTTTTTAAAGAGAGGTGCTCAGCACAAAGAAACAGGTTGTTCTTGCCTGTTCAGCTGGCAGTGGGTGTTCCAAGCACAAAAAGGCACTAGGCTCTACCCAGAAYGCAAAATGTAAAATTAAGTCCATAAAGAGATGACTGCTTGAAACACATGTGACAGGACTCACGTAAGCGTCTATTTTATATCATAATGAATTATGAACATCGTATCATGGTTCTGATACTAACTAATAAACACAAGAACAAGAGGAAAGCATCTAAAGAAGCAGGGCCCCTGATTTTCGTCAGCTAAAAGGGATGGAATTTCAAAAATATGATATTAAAACACAGATTCAAACAGTTCTAAGGACGAAGTGTCTTAGATTCCYCACTTAAATAGGTCCAGTTTTCACTGCTAAGGCTAACAGAAAATTTGCCAATTGTGTCAAACAAGCAGACCTGTTGGGAGTTGATAAATACAGCTAAGCCCATAAATGCCTCTGTTCAAGAAGTGTTTGAGAAATAAGCATATTTTGCCTAACCAGAAACYCAGATTTCAAGTTCTCTTCATATTTCCTCCGCAAATATGCGCCCTTCAAGAACAACACTTGGCAGAGGTCATCCATTTTTGCCAGTTGTTGCTGCACTTGATTTCAAGGCCAAAAGTCAACTACTACAACAGGAGATTCTTCTAAAGCATCAACTACACTTAGCACAAACCAAGTGATAGTCAGGACTACGCGGAGCACTTCCAGACCACCGAGAAACTTACCCGCTGCTTCAGGATTGGGATGGCAGTCGTAGCTGAAAGACAAGGCGCAGCCTCGCTCTGTCACCTGGTAGGGGAAGAAGCTCTCAAAAATGTCCACTCCTCTTTCTATACACTCAAGCACCTCATCCGGTTTGCCTATCCCGTGGATGATTCTGTAAGAGAGGCACAAAAGAGATTTAAAGCATTCTGTGTAAAAACAAGCTGGTATCCCAATGAAAAGATACACATCTAGCTTAATGCAGCAGCTGCTAAAGAAAAAGCAGTTGGATACAACAATGATCATTCAGATTGCTGATCACATCCATTTCCCACCATCAGTCTACCAGCAGACAGTAACTGTGTATTCCTCCATCTCAGGAGGCAGCACTGACCCCTCATTTACCAAGCAAAACTTCATTGTGCTCATTATGTTTGAGGCGATTTAGTTTCTTTAACATCCACATAAATATGTTCAAGATTCACCTAACACACCTTAGTTATGTTTGTGCCTGTGCTAACTACCAGTTTCCAGATATAGGGATTCCTTGGCTTGGTAGCTGCTAGAAAACAGAGTTTTAGACTTCATTATCACAGAATCACAGAAGTGTTGAGGTTGGAAGGGACCTCTGGAGATCATCTAGTCCAACCTCCTGCTCCAGCAGGGACACCCAGAGCACGGGGCACAGGGCGGCATCCAGGCGGGTTTGGAAGATCTCCAGAGAAGGAGACTCCACAGCCTCCCTGGGCAGCCTGTGCCAGGGCTCTGGCACCCTCACAGGGAAGAAGTTCCTCCTCACCTGAGATGGAACTGCCTGGGTTTCAGCTTATGTCTATGTTTCAACTTATACCTGTTGCCCCTTGCCCTATCACTGAGAAAATTTGGCCCCTCCCTCCCTACATTAGCAGTATGGCAGGTCAAAAAACACAAGCGTTTCAGGTGACAATCACATTGGACGACACTTGGAGGGTCACATGGGGAAGGCTGCACTATTGAGAGATGCTTTGGAAAAAGCAAAAGCTTCCTTGGTTTATTTCTTCCTGCCTCTCTCCAGTCTACCTACTCAAACGCACCTTTTCACTCACACGGGTGCCCTTTTCTCTCCAAATAACATCTCCAACTCTCCAAAAGAGACAACTCACCCAGTAGCCTGGGCTGTAACATCTTCTGGGAGGTGGCATGAAGAGCCTAGAGGAGCCCAGCTGATCGTCACCAGTCAAATGTCTCCTAACAGAGGCCCTGCTCTTAGCCAAATTTCACTSGCAGCTTCCCTGAGGGTAGGTGAAGTGGGAGAGAACAGAGCAGCACCCGCTCTCCCGCAGGCGCGTGCCTTTGCTTGCTGCATGCAATGAAAGCTAATGTAGGGCAATGATCTAAACAGATAATTAGCMAAATACACAGGGGCTGCTAAATGAAGTCACAAGGTGCCATTTTCAGTCACTTTTCTAAGTACTCCAATTAACCTGATGAGCACAGAACACGGATGGGAGAAGACTTTACAATACGAGTTTCTCACGTTTCATGTTCCCACAATAGGAACAAAATGATACTTAGTAGTTCAAGAGGGTAGCTCTGCACATGCAATTAAAACCCTGAATAAARCCTGTATTTGCACAGGTAAGGAAAAAGACTCAAACCTGCATATGTTTTGCTGCTATTGAAGCCGAAAATAATTTTACCGCGAGACTTCAGCAGCTGGAGAGATCTGAAAGGACTGGACAAGTGACTTTCACACAATCACTTCACCATCAAAGCTGCCATTTCTTGGATGAAACACATTTTTTTTTCTTGTCTTCTGGAGACTTTCACACTGGGGTAGAACCCAGCTGCAAACCAGCTTCTGCAGCCAAGGCAGAGAGGGCTGTTTAAGGCTGTGCAAGCCCCCCTAGGCGACCCACCTTCCTCCTTACAGAGAGGTCAGGAACACCTGCCTTAACCAGACAAGCAGGATATTTGATAGACGAGGCAGATGCCCTGGCAGCCACTGGGCTCAGCTGAGCAGACTGGACTCTACTGCTCCCAGGGGGACCTTCCTAACACAGCTCAGTCAGACAAGATGCAGCAACACAGCAAACCTCCTAATTGTCAGGAAAACTCAAACCCCAGGCACTCGTAGGGATGAACAAACRGCAACACAAGACACAGGCTTTGGAATTTCATTTCCTTTAACATCATTAAGCTGGAGCAGTGCTCAGCTAGCAGAGGGCAGCACAGCTACAGAGAGACAACCGAGCAAGTCAGTCCCTCTAGGAGATGAAGAGAAAAATACCAATCCAAGAGCAGTAGTAGCAGMAGCAGCAAGAGCAATTCAGAACATGAAATCAGGAAGCTCAACCCAACGCTCACAATTCTCCCACCTCTGAACCACTAGCAGTCATTAGCAGATTTTTTGGGGAAGTTTTCACTCGCCCTGTCATCTGTAAGAGTCAAATATTCTGTTCCTACTGTCCAGGCTCCGGTATGGATCAGACAAGCACTTACTATCACTCAGAAARCATACTGCAAAAACCATATTATACCAGTCTAACCAGAAAGCACAGTTATTTTGAATTCAAATCTTGTGAGTATTCCCCAAACACAAGGAATATTTACATCTACACCATGAGCACGGCTCAGTGCTAATTACAGCTAAAAACTGAAATGAGGGCTGAAGTCTGCAGCCTGAAGTGGCAGGGGCCATGCAGGCTGCCACTCACATGGTGCTGTGCATGAGAATGGCTCTTTCCTAGAGCAGTTCCTCCTCATACACTGGGATGAGGGATGACTTGGCGGGTCACCCCACAACTCACCTCGGTTTGTCCTCGGGCAGCTCTGCCGTGACAGCAGCGATCAGATTCAACTTGGTCTCCTTGGCCATGGCTGGTCCCTGGAATCCATCTAGCAGAAATCCGCCCACGGGCCGCTTGGCCGTCTCCCTGGCCGATCGGAGCCTCTCTTCCAAGACATCTCCACCTTCAATCACCCCAATCATTACGCTGCCCTGTAGCTCCTGGTCCAGGAGAAAGCTACAAGTGTTAGAGAAGGCACTGCCACAGGCATCCAAAGCATCTCCTCACTTCTTTACACCTCACTTTCCAAGGAACCTTTCAGAGCTACGGTGTTTCATCCCAAGTAGGATGAGCCACCACACAACACAGTGAAGTCTGGGTATAACACAGCAATGGGATTAAGAGAGAACAGACTCTGCTTCTGCCCCTGACATTGAATCACTGAGGATTTTGTGTTGTTCTGCCCATCTCCCCGCCGGAGGCAGTAACTACAGATCATCTTTGCATGTTGCCTTTTGTAAACATCTCTCAGCACTACAGGAACACAAGCTGCCGCAGCAGAATGCAAAGCAGGCGCTAATAGCCAGGCTGCCAGACACGGCAGCTCACACTGAACTGCTTTACAAGGGATAAAAATATCAGCTTCAGTCACAAACATGCTCCTTGCCACTACAGACCCAGATACGTCCCCTTTCATCAGAAGGGGATGGTGTCTCAGACCTGCTGGAGGAGAGGAGGAACAGCACTGGCAAGAGCAYTGGCAAGCCCTGGCAAATCCCTTGCACCTGCTACTGGGGGCACTGCAGAGCAAATCAAAGCTCTTAAGTGTCAGAGCATGAGTTGTCTCCATCGGAATGAGATCCTGCTTTGGCCAGGTATGCGGCATGAAGGCAAGTGAAAAACCTCCACTTGAGTCTAAAAGCAGAATAAAATACACACAGCACCCTGCAACTGATAGAGAAATATGTTGTGCAGCAGGACACCAGGGGCAAGGGGAGAAAGTGGCAGAAAACACGGGCACTGTGCTGCTGGTCGTGCCTCCTCCAAGTCCAGCCGCTGGGCATTCCCTGAAAACACGTAACATTTCTTACTAAGTCACATCCTTGGGCTGGCCCAGGGTGCAACACAGACGGAAAAGCATCTGCCTTGCAGCTCCCACAGATATTTTAGGGACCTTACCGGTGATTTCTCCAGGAGCTGGAGGCATTCATCCAGGAAGGAGAGAGACCTATCCACGGATTTCTTGGCTCGTTTCCTCCCAACTTCCCCAGAAACGGTGTCTCCATCAGAGATGCACTGAAACCAGTCGGGCTTGATGACACGTTGCATGTCCATGAACTTGGAAGCCGTCACTTCCATGCGCCCTGAAGTCCCCCACAGGGACACTGCCTGTCAAGGAAGAACAGGGATGAAGGTTTTTGACAAAGACTGACAGACCTGGAGGGTCAAAGGACAGGAGGGGTGTACTAGAATAGCAGATGCTGGCATGTAATACACTGGAATAAGCTCTTCAGGATCATGGCTCAGATCATCAGATGCCCTTGGCACAAGGAAAGGAAGGAGATTAGTGGGTGATTCGTGATTTTTGGGGTGTTCTTTGATGAAGCCATGGCACACATTCACTTCTCCCTTTTTCCCTTTGGGCATCTCCCCTTTCACACCTCATGACTACTTAAGGGTATTGGGGAGTCAGAGAGCAGCTGGCCTACAATTATCTGAAGTAGTAGAAGTTAAAAGCAATCAAGATTTAATTCCTCTCAAACTTGTATTGTCCCTCTATTAGTGGCCACAAAGGCTGGCTACAAGAAGAATATTCTCACTAATATTCTGTCTACAGAAATACTACACCACAGAAATGCCAGATGGAATGAACTAATTCCTCTCCCGAGCAGAGAAGCCTCACAATCCGTGTGAATGTGTGTGTGTATTTAAAGCACACAGACACACCAGGAAAAACAGAAGCACATTCCACAAYTTGATGTAATCAAATAGTGTTATTTCAGATCTCAAAACCAATCACTCAGAAAAGACTGAAATACTGCGTGGAGAAGAAACACACAGCCTCAAACTCCAGCAAGCTAAGAAATGGCAGGTATTCTCCGGGAATGTAAAAAACAAATTAAATCTCCTCACAGGCTTTCTGTGTTGTGYGCACATACAGGTCTCAGCTTCATCATTATCCCCATTTTAGAGCAAGAGAAAAGTAACTGTGCGGGGTCATTAAATCATACAAACACATCTGGATTAGCAAATATCATTATTCAATTCACACTCAGCTACTGGAGCCCCTGCAACTAGGTAAGAAGCTACCCTATTTCATCCTATTCTGTGTGTGTGCACACAGACATGACAGTTCCTTCTTGTGCATTTTTGTTAGTCTTTTGACACTGTGGCACTAAACTTGAAACCTGGGYTGAGTCACTCAGAAGTTAGTTCTTTGTGTTTGCAAATCCATTAGTGATTTAAATTGGGAAAGGATTTAAAAAAAAAATCAGAAATATGAAAGTACTGTGGAAACTTTTTTGTAGGATGACAGTTTAAATGAATTCTCCTGGCATATGCCAGAGATCAGATTAAACAATTATTTATCAAGAATCACCTATTTCTTTGTTTTCTCAGGAGACCAGTCAAAAGGATTGTGTAATTTACACTGTGTGACTGTCTGTTCATTCCTCCTATTACTTTCAGCCCTCACCAATTAATTTTAACTAAATTGGAACAAGACAGAGACAGACAGAAAGACAGATAAAAGTCTGTAATTACATTTCATAGAAYCATAGAATGCCGAAGGTTGGAAGGGACCTCAGAGGTCGTCGAGTCCAACCCCCCTGCWCACACAGGGTCAYCTASAGCACGTGGCACAGGGCTGCATCCAAGCGGGTTTTAAAGATCTCCAAAGAAGGAGACTCTTTTTCCATAAGTCTTCCATAGAAAGTAGCAATGCCAAAGGCAGAGATCCCCAAAATGCAGCAGCTGTATAGTGTTCTGCAGCAGCACTCTGATCAGTCAGTAGCTTCAGTAGCTGCTGTCTCTTACATGATGAGGGTGTCAAGGAGCAGCTGGAGAATCCAGGAACTGGCAAAGACCTGCCAAGCTCCCTACTTCTGAGCTGCTGAGCCACTTCTCTGTAGGAGTGTGATATTCTTCCCCTTTGTGGACCTCTAGTGGATTGTAAAAGCAAACATGTAGGGTTTGAGTTTACTGTTTACAGCAATCACCGTAAGCTTGCTCGACTCACAAGCCAAGACACGCACATTTTCTCTTACCACCACCTATGAACCATAAGAACATCAAAGCCCAGAGCTCTCATTCCTCTCTGAATTGCCCCTTAGCTGTTAAGAAAGCCAGAGAACAGACTGCCAAGTAAGAAAATGTTCTTACAGAAACTTGGAGTGAATTCTTTCAAGTCTTCACAATAGATAGCTTGTATATACCTTGTTGGTGTTGTAGCCAGAGGGGCAGGGGGCAACCGGGTCTTGGAGGGAGCAGTACAGCACCGTGTCCGGCATGCCTGGGAACAAAGAGAAGGAGAGCTCTGGGAATCAAAAAGTAGCTAATGCAAAGACTTGGTATGTGAATACACAAAAGGCAATGAGCACACACYCACAAATGGGCACATGTGTTCTTCTGTAGGACTGACAAAGAAAGGTATTGTTCACTTGAGTGCTCAGCAGCAGAGTCAGATTTTTACCCCAGCTTTACAGAGCACAAGGAGGAGAGGACAGCAAGGAGGCAAACCATAAAATAACATCCTCTGATTGCACAAGCTACACAGGGCCTCTTACACAGAGATTTTAATTGATATTTCTTGTTGATTAACACTTCTCCCAGCATCATTTGCCAGCCGCACGTAGCAGCTGATTCACTTGACCACTCAACTGATATGCTGAGGAAACATGGCATTCAACAGGCTAAACCAAGGAAAAGTGCTAAGCCTAAAATTTTAAAGTAAGGACATCACATCATGAGAGAATGTATCAGCTACAGAAGGCAGAAAAGCATCACCGTCTCTAGATTAGACCCTTTAAATGTGATACAGTATGTCTCAATGCCACGCAGTCTTCCCTTCACAGTCACTGCAGTTCTTAAAGGCTCTGAGAAGTTTCAAGAGGGATTTTCAAATCATACTGAACAAACTGTCCCATTTCAGTTAAAGCTTCCTGAGAAYTGGGTGTCTGGTGCATCTCCCTGGAAACACATGCAGAAACACAACACATATTACCTATAAACTTGGCAGCTCCTTCTTTGTATTCTTCCAGGACCTCATGAATTTCCGCCCTGCATCCAGGCACAGAAACATAGTAATTAATCAAACAATGACGCAGAAAATCAGCGGCCTGCATAACCGCAGCCCCCTTCCCTTACTTGCACGCTGCCCGAACCCAGSCTGGGTTTGGTGCCAGGCGCTATCCCCTGGCTGGCAGGGCCCAGCACAGCTCTGCCACGGAGGCAGAGGGGGCTTACACCCGCGACAGCACCAATTCCGTGCCCAAAGGGCCCGTTTTTGCCCACAGCSAGCGGGCCGCACTGGGGGTCCCCGGCGCGCCCTGCGAGGCACAGGCAGGAGGCGCAGAGCAGGGCCGCGGCGCCCCTAACACGCCCCGTAACTCGTTACCCCGCCCGCCTCCCCTCCCAGCGCCCCGTTATCGGCACGAGCCGCCGAGGGCGGCGGTTTCGGGGCCCCGCGGCGCGCGCCGCTCACTCACACGGCGGGCAGGGCGAGCTGCGCCACGGCGGGCAGGCCGCGCACGGCGCGCAGCGT